CTCTCCTCTCTCCTCTACTTTGGGCCACCAGATGACGAGCGCATCCGTGTTGAGGAGATCCAAGAACCCGGACCGAACGGACATGCCGTCCTCGTCAGCTATCCCTTCGGGCTCACTGTCAAATATGTTGAGATTTGGGATCCTTTCGGCCCAACCATCACTGACAAAGACATCTCTGCCTTGGTGCTGTCGCTCGAGACAAGGAGCGGAGGTGCTGCAGTGAACAACAAGCGCAGCGAGCAGGGATGGGACCCCCTTGAAGTTTTTGAGGTCGCTGTTCTCGATGCCAGCGAAGAAGACAGCATCGATGAAACCTTCCAGAGTAAGCTGAGCAGCACTGAGATTCGCCGAAAACGAAGCGAACGTGTTCAATCCAGAGCGAAAGCGTGACCCGATAGGCGTGGCCGGGCGGATTGATGGCGAGACACGTCTTTGAGTGTTTGCCATGTTGGAACAGGCCCGGGCGATATGTGAGTAGAGTTTTCGTCGGCACGAGAGGTCGACAAGTCGACGAGGCAGGAGGGCATCTAGTGTCATTTTCTGTGCGACGATCTACGACAGCTGCGTGCGCCATAGCTACACGACCGCGCAGGTCCGCATGACGTTACCAGGGCGAGTATAGGCTTGTGAAGCAACACGTCGATCTGACCGGCAGTTCCACGCATGCATCGTCATCGGCGCATGTACGAGCGGGATTGCGGCCATGTCCTCTCCGTCCCGAATTTGTGCCATGACCGAATCCGGGTCGCTTGCGCCTACACAGATGCTTGTATACTATTTACATATTGCACGCCGTACTTGGTGTGCTGTAATGGAACTTGCATGCTATCATCTCCTGCCGAGCAGGACAGATGACGCACTGCAACAGCGTACGCACATTGCGAGACATACAGACACCCGTTTCAGCCCACTATGAGGCTCCTAAAGCTCCGTGTCGTCATGAGATGCCCATCGCTTCAATGGCGTTTGCGCCATCCCAAGTACACGGCAGTGGAATCGGCCGGATGACGCATCTGAAGCGCTTGTGACGCCAATCAGCCGACCTCCAGATGCATGCTTCGTTGGCAACGCATCGAGACCATCCATGGATGGAAATTCGTGTAGTGGGCTGTGGGGAGCAGGCCTTCGGGCCTCGAATCAGCGCAGGCGTAACAGCCAGCCCTAGCGAATTTGTGCAGTAGTCCACGGCGGCCATTCGACTCTTCTTCGCGGGAGGAGCCATGCATGTTTACCGTCCTGCTTATGTAAATGCAGACGCTAGTGATCATGTGAGACGTTATGCCGGTTGCAGTTTAATGCATCGCGGTTTGGGCGAGGGCGTACCGGGGTGCACGCTGCAAGTTGCAGGCGGCGTGTCCAGTCCCAGGTCGTCTTCGCAACTCTACGCTTAGCTGACTGCTGGCAGAGAGGTCATGCATTTCTTTCTCCGACCACGCCCCTCTGGCTGTCCTTCGCTTGCTATCCCATAGATCGGTGCCGGCTGTCGGATAACACCACGTTGTCAGTTGACTCGACTGTCCCGCTGTCGCTACGCTCACTACCACCTGCCATTCCCTCCTCCCGATCCGGCCCGAACGCTGCTGCCCTGCATTGAGAGTATATCCGCTGTGCGGTGCGCTCCTAAATCGCGCTGGGAAGCTTCCTGAGCAGAGCTTCTTCGGAGCGGTCGTCATGAATGTGACCACTTAAAATGGGTATCCTCGATCTCGCCGACGAGCTTCTTCGCATCATCCTCGAATATGTTGCGAGCGAACCAGAAAAACCAATAAGTCTGGAGCGCCGCGCATACCTGTCGCAGGAATCTTTCAAGCTGCCCCTCCCACCAGAGCCCGACGATGCCGAGACGATTGCGAGCTTTAGGTAAGTGGTATAGCCGTACGGAATGCATGTGAGACACACACTGACTTCGTGTCCTCGCCTTTGTAGATTGACTTGCAGAAGATTCAGCAATTTGGTAAGTCCAGCTGCACGGAGTGCACGTCAGACATGTACTGAGCCTCTGCAGGGTGTCATCCATCAGTTCTCGCGCGTTACGACACGCTTCTCACGAAAGGGACTCGAAAGATTAGAGAGGATAGCTGGCCAACCTCACATTGCCGGCCGTGTGAAGAAGTTCAGTTACATGGTGCCATTTTTCTACGATCAAGGACGAGAGCGCATACAGGAGCTCCTCCACACACGGCCCGAGAGTTTCAGCTTCGATATCGAAAAATTCCAGAAAAAGGTGAATGAGCAGACCAGCCTTGTGAACAGCAGGAAAGATGCACATATCCTGCATTTCGCGCTCCAGCGATTCACTTCACTCCAGCATATCCAGATCCTACGCCTGCAGGACCAGGATGATGCCGTGTTAATCACGTACATGCGGGGTCACAACGAGTTGAACGGTCTAGTACCGACATGGCCACCGGCATGCTTGCATAGCGCGAAAACAATCGGTCAAGCAAGTAATATCCGTGTACGGATTGATAGGAGACATTTACTAACTTCGACCTCGGTCTTCAGGCCCTCCTTGAGTCCGAATCGCCATGTTCGCGATTCTCATCCCCCATGCTAAGCCCGCAGAGCGTACTAGGTGCCGCTAGCAATCCGCCATCAACCCTGGGAATCCTTGCCGAACGCCTGACCTGTCTAGAGCTACATTTCGATGACAGCACGGACCTAGACGTTCGGATGCGACATCTCACCTCCCTGTCCAAGGCATTGTTTACTGCGGCTAAGAATATTGAAGCCGTGCATATTGGCTTTCCTTCATACCGACCACTCACATTGCGGCTAGAAGAGCTTTTCCACAACGTGAAGTGGGAAAAGCTGCAGGGTACGTTTTACGTCTCTGCATCATGAGACATACACTAACCTGATATCTCCGTCTTTGCAGCTTTTGGGATCCAAGCCTGGCGTCTCAACGCAGATGAAATTCTGGGGATTGCCCGGCGACACAGAGATACATTACGTGGTTTGCGTCTGCGTGATGTACTCTTGAAAGAGGGAAGCATGTGGAAAGACGTGCTTCCCTGTCTACGCGATGAGCTCACAAGGCTTGACTGGATTTCTCTTAGGCGGATTGGATATGAGAAGCAAGTAATATCCGTGTACAAACGGTTGTGAGACTTTTACTGACTTTGTACATCAATCTTTAGGCACTTCGACGAGCAGTTCGTTATGGGAGCCGAAGTACCAGAAGACGATCCTCTTGGAAGCGACAGTAGCGACGAAAGCGATTACGATTACGAACACGAACACGAAGATCCATCTAGCGGGAATGACGCTGATGGCAGTTCAATAGCTGACACAGAATCTGACGCAGAGACCGACGAGCCTGAACAGGGTGGTAAGTTCTGGCTGTACGAAGTGCATGTGGGACATATACTGACCTCTCTAGGCACCCTTTCCTTCCCGCCTATGCCCGATACCCCAGCCTCGATTACATGGTGCAACTGCAACGGACACATGGATGGCGTCGACGTCTTAGAAGACAACGGAATCATGGTCACCAATCAGCAGCGCAAGTTCTGGGAAAAGTGGGTCGTAAGGAAGATCTGCACCGAGCAGCATGGCCACAAATGAGCGGCCGAAGAAACCACCAGAGAAGGAAGCGAAGCTATGCGTAATAAAGCCGCAACAACATCTGTTGGGTTGCGTTGCGTGAGGCGGGCGTAAGAAGAAAAGCAATTATCCATCGAACCGTGTTGCAGCCCTGGAATCATTATATGCAGGCGCGATCACGTTTTGGATCCCGTATGCGGTCTACGGACCGCATATGCATGTGGAGCAGCAGCCACAGCACCATTGACGGGCGCTTATGCGACAACCCAACAACCCGTCACCTGGTCACGTCCACCCCATCTTCGTCAGTTCGTGCGAACGCAAACTGTGCCGTATCGTTGCAGGTATTTTCTGGACCCGACTAGGCCATTTCCCGCATTCGCTTCTTTGGAATGGTCGGACGAATCATGCGGCAACAGGACCAGGAACTCCAATCTTTTCGGCTATCTGTCTTGAATCCGTACTTTGACTGTCAAAGCATAGCGCCGGCGCAGCGAACGACACTTTCGCATACCACTTGTTCGAGAGGGATGGTTCACGTCCAAAGTCTTCTGTTGCACCAAAAGTTGTGCGCTTTGCATTCTGCTTTTCTATCCTTTTTTTATCAGCTCTTCGACGCCAGTAACGAATGTAACGTAGCGTGGGAGGAATCTGCTTTTCAATTGATTGAATCATTATAGGCATCTTCGCTTTCTGCTTCTTGTCTATCACCTGCTGTTGCGGCGATGCCATCGAATAGCAAAAGTGGGGCATGGTTGGGAGGTAGATTCTATCACTGGTCTGGCTCCCACCACCCAGCAGGCGTCGATACTCACCCGTCTTTCTCTTATACATTCTGAACAGACTACACTCACCGAGTTCTGATTCTCGCATGCAATCTCTAACGCTGTACTGACAAGCGAGGATATAATAAAGAGTATGCCGGCAAGCCTCACTGCTAACGATGAAGCAAAACGACCAAACCCCATACTCAGCTACTACATCGACCTGAGCTCTACCCGCCCACTCCGCCATACTAAATGAGCTCTGAAACACTCAAGAACAACTTCTTCAGTACGCTCGACTATTACCTTGATGTATGCGGGCGCGCTGGCTCACTGTCCTGGGGACCGCCGCACGGAGCCGCCTCTTTCACCTCACCACGCGAAACCGCGCTCATGACACGTCGGACGCGCAGCGACAAGCTTCTGTGGCGCGTAGACGCGACTTGAGTCCGACGCGCCTCGAACTGGATACCTGGTGGGTTGAAAACTCTTCAAACCGCATAACATCCTCTCTCTTCCAATTTCAGCCGACTACGACCTTCGCTGTTTCATCTACCATTCATTGCATCCGAAGCAGCGGATACATACTACATCGCAATGACGAAACACGTTTGGAGAGCAGCAGATGCCCGCGTGATGTTGTGGGAACCGGCGGTGGCAGCGACACCTCCAGCTCCGCACCAGTCGCAGATGCCGCAGCAATTACATGAAGTAACCGAAGCCGACATTCAAGGTAAGTGGTTACCAGACATCTTTCTGTTCTTTCTTTATGAAGCAGGCACTGACAACTCCACAGCGTGCTTAACAAGCAGCTACGATGGTAACGAGCAATACTCGGTGCTTCCTTCGATCGAAGATGTTTTCGAGCCATATATCAGTAGCGAGCCTGGCGAAGACATCACTGCAGTTGTGTCGTCAACGGTCGGTACCTCCGCTTCGAATATATCCAAGCAGCGTTGTTCTTCGTACGATTCTCAAGCTACACTACCATTATCGACGCCTTGCCCGTCGGACGAAGAAAGAGATCTTCCTGTTATGCTTTGCAGTCCTGCAAGGACGAATCACCACTTCAACGTTGGCAATACCGTACCCACGCCACAAGTACGAAGGACTCTGGACTTCGGTATGCCAGCCTTTCGCCACACCAATGACATTGTACAACAAGTCTCTGAGCCTAGCGACTTCACTTCGCTGGCAGCACTGCGAAGACTTGAACGAGACCCTCCCCACCACTGGCATGAAGACGAACGAGAACTATTGACCATCCTCTATCGATGGTACGAAGACACATATGTGGCAACCATTCCGAAGGTCTTCAATGCTATCACCGGCCTCAACCTCAGGCTCAATGTCATTCGATACCAATTCGAGAGCCATCTAATCTTGTATGGTGGCCGCGCATACCCCGAGTTCGATCGTGTGATGAAAGTCCCATTCCACGACCCGGAAGACAAGTACGACGAGATCCACGCAATTATCGAGGACACTGCCTTGGATTCTGGCATCGAATTATCAAGACGCACACACGAGGTGAAAATTGAGTCTGGCTTGGCGAGAACTGCAAAGTCTCCCAAGACGAGGAAACATTACAAATCCTTGGTTAGACGTGCGCTGAAGAGGGAGAAGGAGAGAGCACGCGCCATTTTCACGCCAGCTCGGGAAGATTTACCACTGCAGGATCTACAGCTCGGCGGGATGACATTAGCTGAGCAAGATAATGAGGAAACATGGTCAGACGTTGACGGTTATCATACACCGCCCATCACACCTACACAGCCAACACTCCGGACTCCACCCGGCAGGAATACGATTGGATTTCGCGTTTGGGATGCCAACAGCCGGACCATGTTCGACGACGAGACAGGCTTCGTGAGCCAAGTCTTCTCAATTTGGAGGGGCGAGTTCCTGCCGCCTTTCTCTCCAGATGGACAAGGTCAACAGGCTATCATGCTCTTGACGAATCTCCATTTGTCAATGAGCGGCGGCGCATCGGCCTTTGTTTCAGTATCTACGAGTCTCTTGCAGGCACTGGTCAAGGCCTCAACAATGTTTGAGCCCAGAATCGCCGTCAGTACGTTGAAGTCCCACATAAAGTAACGTCTTGGTCTCATGCTAACTACGGTGGTGTTCTTTAGTTGCACTCGATCATCCACTGCTCGCAGAACCACACAAAACACTGCCAGCTGCTGACGTGATGCGGATGTTGAAAGCGGAAGGCCAGGCTCCGTGGGCAAGATACAAGGGCCTCGCAGGTGAGCTTCCGAAAAGTCCTATACTGCGGCTATACTAATATGTACCAGAGCGCATGGTTTGGGCTTCCGTGCCAGCTGCAGCTGTGCTGTCACACTTCCCGCTTTCCGACCTTACTGTTTTGTCACGCCACAACCAAGCTTGCGACGATATCCTCAACTTGCGGGACATACAATCAGGTCGAAAGACACAATACGTCTCCTCACTCTTGCGCGACAGGAACACCTTCATCAACATCCGCACGGCACGAGCTATGGCTGTAGTATGCCGGGCCTTCAAGATGCACCGTGTCGGCGTCAGCCTTGCGCACATTCAAGGACTAGTCTCATCGTTGGTGGATTCGTTCCAGCTGAAGCACGTCACAAACGATACACCTCGCATGTCTATGATGATGGCCAAAGCGTTTGCCGTGTCTCTCGTGTCGCAAGCTCATCTGGACCCTGATGTTGAGACCGCTTTTCAGGAAGGCGTTCAGCAAGGCACTGTTAGTAATATCCGTGTACAGACTATTGTGAAGCATTTACTGACTCCATACATCGACTTTTAGGCCACCATCGAGTTCTACACTCGACGTCGACCTGTGGTACATCGACGACGGAGCGGCTAAGAACGTCTCAGCAACCTCTCGGCGCACGATCAATATTATCAGCAGATAGCTTGTCTCAGGTTTTACAGTTCTTTTACGATTACAAGAGTATGGGAAAGTACGAGGAATAGCCACCAGCATGATTTATCAAGAATGTTCGGCGAAGTGCTAATGTCATACGATGTCTGAGCTTTGTTAGAGATGTCATAGGTTGTGTATGGATTTATTGGAGTGTAGAATAGTTGGTAGCATACTACAGAATGCAAGGGCATGCGACTTTAACTATACCTTCCGAAACGTTGAGCGTACAATAGTGCAGCTCGTCGTTCAGACGCTTACTCGCTATCAAGCCTCCTTTCCCTCGTCTCAGACCCAGAACCCTCAGAAGCCTCATCACCCCCTTCACTCTCAACCCCATTCGTTCCCGCCCCATTCGTCTGCCCCGCCTGCGCCGCACGATCCCTCGCCGCAACATGCCTCATCATCTCCTCCTCCATAGTCCCCCTCTGTCTACGAATCTCCCGCCACATCTCCTCCACTTCCGCAATCTCCGCATCCATACTATCTTCACTACTCTCTTCACTATTTCCTGTGCTTTCCTGTTCCACAATTCCCCTCTCCACTAGCAAATTTTCCCTAGCGGCTCTCCTCATGTCCCTCGCATCGCGACGCCGCCTAAGTGTTGCAGTAGGGGTTTCGTAAGCGCCGTTACGGTGGAGCTCTACGCTCTCTGATAGCTCACCGTTCGTAGGCGGGTTGGAAGTGGGAATAGTGTCGCCGTTTGTACTTCCGACGGCGGAGTTGACGAGTGTGGTTCCGCTTAAGGATGCGCTCCGAGAAGAGCGCGTTGAAGACTCCGATGAACTTCTCGTACCATTTCCAACATAAACACTTGGGGGAATAATCTGTATCGCTGTTGCGTACCCATTCGTCCTAGCACCTGTCGCAACATGTCTACCATCGTTCGCATCTGGATGCGGACGGAGAGGGATTTCCTGGTCTATTCCACCTTCGGCGCGGATCGCGCGGAGGCGTAGAATAGGGCCGTCGAGAGTGTATGATACGGAGCCCCAGTCTCCAATCGCTTCGTTGAGTTCAGGGGTGGAGAGGCGCGGGCGCGGACGGATGTCTTCTGGATCTGCGGTAACTCGCTCTGGGGATGGAGTTTGAGTGTAGGCGTTGGAGGTGTGGGTTCGGCCATTTGTGTGTGGGGCGCCGTTGGGACTGGTGTTGTTTGGCGTTACGATGCCGGCGTTGATGTGGAAGGTGTTTGTAGTCCCGTTTCTGTTGTAGTTGGTGCTTCTTCCGCTTCCGCGACTATCGCCATTCTGATATTCGCTGTTAGGCTCACGGATCCACACATCTTCACTCAGATCTTCCACGCCCTCGTGATCGACAAACCCGTTTACACCCTCAAGGTGAACAGCCGCCGTAGTCAACAACGTACGACGGTGATTGTTCGGGTCAGTGTAACCCAGACCCATCGCTATGGTGTATCTAACTATGATATCCCTGATGACCCTGGAGCCGATGGAAGGTCTCAAGCCGTACAGAACGACGAGGAGTGGCCGGATGATCTCTCGTGCGTCGGCGTAGTCCTCTTCATGAGAGCCGCCATTTGTAGGTTCGTAGATGTAGCCATAGAAACGATTGTCATTGGAAGGAAGATGGTTGTTTACATGACCGTTTGGGAGTGAAGGGTACTGAATGTTGCCATTGGTCGAGGGAATATGAGTATAGCCGTTAGTGTAGCCGTTGGGCTGATGAGCGTGCCTTTCCCCACTGGGCATGTTGGTCGTTAAACGAGTCGGCTCAGTTTCATACCAACCGTCACGGGGTGCGGCATGTCCATTCGTCGTTGCTTCACGCCTCGAAGCATTATCCAATAACGATCTTTCATATTCCTCGATGATAGTGCGCATGGTTCTCAGTCCTAGTTGTGGCGTTATATCAGTCAGAACATTCGTTAAGGTAGTCCGGCGCCACAAGCCTCCAGGATCATTTCGAATGACTATCCTTGTGGGACGGGGGCCGCGTGGGGAGGGGTAGAGATTATTCAATCTCCGACGTATGGGGGAGGATGTGATGGTAAAGATGTCGTAGTTGGTGGAATCAAGACGAGGTATTCGAAGATGTCCATGCGTTGTGGGAGTATGGCTGTCGTCATTTGTCAGGAGCGTAGGCATGTCTTCTTCGACTAGCATTCTAGCGCGAGTCTCTACGTTTCCACCGGCGCGTACAGCTTGTGTAAGTATGCGCAGTTCATCTCTCGATGACGTTGAACCTTCTTCAGGGCTGGGTGGTAAAGCACTGGCCGCAGCTGCTTCCAGTGCTTCCTCATCGTCCAGTATAGTGACTTCTCCGCCCCGTATGCCGTGCACGGTTGACATATGGTGCGGCTCATCGAGAATACCGTCAGTGGGACGACCACTGGAGCAACGAGTCCTGTTTATCATCGACCTCTGTATCATACGGCAAGCCAGCTCTCTGGCCCGCTGCTCTTCCAGAAACTCGTCGACATCGAACGGCTTTCGTACAGGTGTTTCCCCCTCTTGGCGCTTCTGCACTTCTCCGTCTCCATCATCATCCATTTCGGCTTCATCGCCAGCCTCATCTGCTAGCTCTTCGTATCCTTGCTGTCGCCTTCCCATATCTCTTACTTCGTTTTCCAGCCTCCTCGTTCTCTGCCTATCTCGATCAACCATTCTTCTCAAAGCCCTGACTTCTTCAACGAGCGATGGTACAACATCCTCAAGATCTTCGAGGATGTCCACTCGATCTTGAGTCTCCGGATGTGCTTCAGGAGCCCGGAAGTACGTCGCTAAGGAGAAGAGGAAGGAAGATATGGCTAGGGCGGGAAAGGTGGCCGTTAGGAGGATGATAAAATTGCTGCTGTTCATTTTGTGTTCGTACAATTATTGTTTCTCGTTTGTAGAGAAGGGATATGTGGATAGTAGGAGCGTCAGAGATGGCTTTTGAGGAGGGAAGCCGCTGATGAAGTGTCGAGTTGCGATACATGCTCGACATGCTGTACGCTTGAAGCTGTGGACCCGTCAATCAAGTCGGTCACTGTGGTTATGTCCTTTTGCGCGCTGGTCGCAAGACATTGACAACCTGCTGGGCCTGTGAAAGAGTTCATCAATGAATGCAGCTTGTAACGGTTGCAGTAGTCTTCACCCTCACTCGTGATGGCGGTGAGACTCACAAAATAAATGATACAAGCTGTGCCTCTCCTTCACACAATATCATAGAAATGTTCCCATGATTAAGTTTTCCGTATGCGGTAGCTGTTCGCCTTATCCACGACCACGACATCACGCACAAAAATGCAAATTCGGCTTTGCACAGTCAAGTCCGTAGTGTTTGATGAATGTACAGATTGGTATTATATTACTTGTGAAGTGTATGTATGTACAAGGAAACCCCGGTCATCGTTTGATTCGATGTTTAACCAGAGGCAGCAATGACCAAGGTGTACTGGGCAACCTGCGAGCAGACGAAGTCGTTAGGACCGTTGCCACCGGCGTGGCAGTAGGTGGGAACAACGCCCTGACCCCAAAAGCCGACACTGTTCGCATATGTTAGTCTATCGTCCAAAGTCTGTGTCACTTGATGTACGTACGCAGTGCCAAGCTCGTGGTAGAGAGTGATGGGGTAGTCGCCGTTGATGTCCTTGGTCATGGCGAAACGGTACTTGCTGTCGCCGCAGTTGACAATAGGAGCGGGGAGAGTAGGGTAGGGTCCGCCGACGCAGGAAAGGTCGGTGGCGTTGCGGCCGTCAATCTTGAATGAGACGGACTGGAGGGTGCCGTTGTTCTTGCGGATGGTGTAGTCCTTGAAGTTGACGTTCTCGTAGCTGTTGACGTCTGGTGGACCCTGGCAGTGGGCCGGGTTAGGGCAGTCGGGAGTCTGGGCAGCGGGTGCGGCCATGGCGGCGGCACCGAAGAGAGCGGCGAGGGTGAAGAACTGCATTTTGATTGATTTGAGAGTTTTGGTGGTGTTGATAGGTGAGGTGTTTGGAAATTGACTGCTTGGATGATGGATACAAGATGTGGTGGCTGGAGCCGTACTTATATCTCTGCGAAGATCTTCATTACCATCTCAACGTCACTTAGTCGAGCGCTCGAGCAACAACCAACAATGCTCATGGATTCGGTCATACCTCCTCGTATTTCTCACCGTGGTGGGTTGCATTCGGGCAATGATGTTGCCCCCCGGACGGGCGTGCACCGGCGTAGGCACAAATCTCCGAGCCTAACGTGTGGACCCCTTGACCGCTAACAACTTCTGTGATGTAAGTGGCATTGATCGTCGAACAACAAGGCAGGTACCTCGTATACTGCAGTTGCGCATGCTGTGATGGATATTGCGGCTTGATGCATTGTTCTCGTTTTCGCATGTCGGCACGTTGCCCAGGTGAATTCTGCATTGACTGAGACGTCTGTGATCGTGAATTCGTTCACCGCAACTGCTCCTGTGTAGAGCCAGCACATCGACGTGGAATTCACCTTGGCATTAGTGATGCAGGAACCACCTGCGAGCGGTGACATTTTTGGGTCCGCGAAGCTGAGCCTCAACTTTGGTATGCAGGGTGCCGGAGCCGCACGCCACACCCGCTGACGCTACAAGCAGCGTGGCCTACGAGGCTGGCAGTTGACGTAACGTGGGCTTCGCTGTTCAATCGAGCGCCACATTACATCAGATTTCGTTCGCAAATGCGAATCCGGTCGGCATGACCGTCGTGGTGAGTGCGCAAGCCCAATTCCAAAAATAGTGGCACCTGCGTTGCACCTAGCGACGGTATGCATGATGGGAAAAAGACCTCAACCTCGTGTGGTGTGTTTCGTGTTAGGAGGCGTTTGTGGAGCGCATGTTTGTTGAGGCTTTCGATAGTGCGACAAGTTTGCGGGCCCCTAATCTAAAAATGGCATGATGTCATTGGGCACGCTGTGTAAGACTCGAAAGTTCGATGTCAAATGTCTATAAACAACACACTGAACGTGGAAACGCACGCGTGGAATGCTTTTTTTTTTTCGTGCTGGCTGCTCTTAAGATAGCACATCCGTCAAGGTAACGATGAACGGTTCGTAGTCGCTCTGAACACGCCAGAACAAGCGTCTCGGCAATAGGAAACTGCGTTTTGCTGAGACGCGACCTAGCACCGTAGGTTGTTATCGCTACCAAACAACTTGCACAGCTACTGCGCAGTCGAAAGGACGCTCATCGAGGTTATCGACGCGAGCACTGGTGTATCACCTGACAGTGCTGTGGGGAGCAGGCTTCGAGAAGTCGCACCGAATCAACGACTGATGATCGCAATCTCGTGTACGATAACCATCCCAACCTCGCAAGTATTAGCGACCTTCCTCGACAGTTGTACGGGATACTTGCTCTCAGAAGGCGGTACACTTCACCGCGCAAGTCGTGTCCAGTCGCATATCATTCAGGCAAATTCCGAGTTGATTGCAGGCATAAGCGATGTTGTGGAACAGGATGAAGGAGAATGGTTAGGTCGACTCTGCTATTGTGCAAGCGCGGCCCGTCTCATAACGATGATTGCGTGTTCAGAGAATGGAGACAAAGACGCTATGTGGAAGTGGCAAGAGCGAAGAGGCGTATATGTAGAAGATCGTTGCATCGTTTGGTTATGGTATGACTACTGTTTTGCTAGAATGAGAGAAGTACACCAAACAAATGAGAGGGTATATAACATGCTTGTTGCGACCTTTTTGAACGCCGGAACACCATGCATGAAGCTCGCTAATAGCAAAGGAAGTAAAGCACATAAAATGAGAAGAGCGTAAAAGTTGTGCTGTGTTTAATGTCGCCAAAGAGTTGACAATCGGCGCTCTGTCTTGACGCCGCGGTCTTCCTCGTTGCGGGGTCTGAGTCGCGAGAAGGGCGCTTTGAAAGCGGTCGGAATCTTGGCCATGGATGGCGAAGTAGGGCCTGTCGGTGATCCAGGATTGGTTCGTGCTTTTTGTTGTGTGAGAGTAGCTTTGTATTGCTCCCAGTACCCGGTGGGTGTCGCGCTCGCGGGTGTGGAGAACCTTGAATCTTCCGCCGGCGATGTGGCATTATCCAAGACCGACGAAGTAGATTTGGATCTGTTTCGATACGGAAGATTGGGTCTCTTGTCGGCAATGAGAGCGCGTGCCTCTTCGGCAGTGAACGTGGGTCGTGTGTCGGGAAAGAGGTTCATACGGGGTCGGGTGGGCGACGGCGGAGTGGAGACAGCCATGCCAATGGTCGAGTCGACTTGGGAGAGCTCATGGACATCATGAGTTACTTCTGACTTGTCTTTCTCGAAACCAAACTCAAACTCGGCTTTAGGAGACTGTTGTCGTAGCAGAGGATGTATATGGCTTTGTGCTGTGAGTGACATAGTGCCAGGTGACTCAAAAGAGACAAGTCCACCCAGAAGCCCACTCTCTTCTGCGGCGCTGACCTTACGAGTAGGGCTATCCGCAGATGCGCTGGACTTAGATGAGACCACACTCGCGCCTTCGCTCCATAGGGAGCTTGCTGTAGAGCTAGTACTGTCTGAACGGCTAGGAGGCTCGCCAGTGCGCGCCAGGTAGAGTGGATATGTGGCACGCTCAAGCTGAACAGAATTGAGTAGGGGTGTTCGGGGACGTGCGGCCGTGCTTGCTGTAGAACCCTGCCTGCTACGCGTGACTGAGGGTGTTCGTGATCGGAGCCAGGAGGTATTCAGTTCAGCGCCGCTCTCTGCAGTGATTGCCGTGGAATGCTCGGAATAAACAGAAGAGGTTTGGCGAGCGTGATCCTGCGAGGATGGGACAGAGTCTTTCGACCTGTCGTTAGTTTCCTGAAGAACACCAGCAGGCTTCTGTGTATTTTTCATTGTGAGACTATTGCTCCGCGAGCCTCGAGTAGAAAGTGACCGTCGCGCTAGAGAACGCACAGAGGACGAACGAGGTAGTTGGGATATCCTAAGGGGCGCAACCTCCATGGATCCACGTCGACTCATGTTTTGCGGCGTAAAGTAATCTTCCCTTTGGCAGTCTGGCTCTATCGAATATAGACTGCTTTGAGAGTCATCAGGACCTTCGTCGATGGCCACTGGCGTCTTAGCTGAAGGTGACGCCAAAGGAGTCGTAGCAACGCTATTGGTAGTCGAGGTGGGCTCCGCAACGTAGCACAAAGCGTACTCCGGGCTTTCAGTATCGCGAACTTCTTTTGGCGCTCTCAGAGCGGACACAAGATACTGGAGAGTGCCATAGATCAAGAGCCACCTGACTTTACGCGCATCTGTTGCTGATACCTTGCCCTGGCGTTGACTGGGGCTGGTAGCATGCGCCTTCTCAAAATGGATATATGCCTGCACTATGTTGGACTCCATCGCACTGGGCTCTAAAACGTTCGTTGCCGCTGCTAGAGCACCATGCATGGTATCCTGTACATGCGTCTTGTTATACTGCGAGGCCAGAACCAGCTGTCTCAAGGCCTTTTGAGAGTTCGTTTTCTGGGAATTTGTTCTCTTCAGTGGCGAAGTGTATGTTGGTAGGAGAGGTAACGGGTGCGGCTGAGACTTGAAGCCATGTCGTTGATCGAACGTTGCAATGTTCTGCAAGACACAGATACCACCGCTAGCTGGTCTTTGGGAGGAGATATCGGCAGTCGAGTCGGTGTCTACGAGGTAGTCGTACAGGTTCTGGAAGTCATAGTACATGGACTTGTACAGAGCTTTCGGGAAAGCGGCGCCCCGTGGTGGTGGCCAATAGCCAAACTTGTCCACGTAGAAGGTATGCAAGAAGCGGCGGAATCGATCGAGATGGCTCCTGGCACCGTCCGTCAATCCTAGGTGAGTCGGCGAGAGGTCTTCCTGTAGAAACCTGCTCAGTGCGGTCGATACGCGCCCGAGATGGCCGTCAACTTCGAGATGTGCGCGGGTGATTAATGCTTTAGTGAGCTTCGAAGTCAGCTACAACATGTTAGCACAGCAGCCTGGAGCAGTTGACGGGTTTCATACAACGTATTCCGGACTGAGAACTAAGCTGTCGCTCATACCGACGCAGTGGGCAAATGCATCGACCCAGATGTCTCTGAGTTTGAAATGCTCTGCGTAATAGAGGCTTGCAAGAGCGTAGTCCGTGCACTCCACCAGATCCCGGTACCCTTGGTTCTCAGCGTAGTCCAGGAAGTCTTGATGGTTGTTTGGATGACTTGGACGGAAGTGGTGTAAACGTTCCTGGACGTCTACGAATGCTTGGCCCATATGATCGCCCACCAGTGGTTTACCCAGAAGGAAGGCGAAGAAGTTGCGAGTCGCAATGTGCCGTCTGAATGAATTCTCTCGTGATAATTCCTCTGGAACCGGGATGAAGAGCTCGACGATGCTTTGTTCCCCATTGGCGTTGGTAAGGGAGCTGGGCATTCGCCTCAGGTGCTGGAAAGCGGATCCCGGAGCAGACGCGATCTGCGCATCACATAGCTGGAGCATCGCCTCGCACTTCTTCTGTCGTAGGAGTCTGAACGGAATGCAGAAGGACGGGCCACGACGCGAAACCCCTTTCGCGTGTAGATGTACGAGGCAGTCCCCTTCCTCATACCACAACTCTGGATCCTTCCGGCTTATTAGCTTAGCTTCCACATGAAAGCTTCGTACATACCCTGCGTAGTCCATGATCCCAATCGCTCACAGTACGGGTCAAGCCTGACCAGCGTTGTACTTTGGTTGGATGCATCGGCTTTGACGGTGTAACAAGGCAGCTGGCGGACCTTGGTCGCGTTTTGGTAGCCTTGAGAGGTCCTTTGCCAGTGCTATCTTCTACTAATGTAGAGGCAACGCGATCGCCAACCGCGAAGCTATGACGTGCGGCTGTAGGTGGGCTGGTATGGTGAGGTAGTGTAGATCCACTTGTCGATGCCGCGGAGACTACCTGATTCAAGGTCCTAGGGTCATCGAAACAAAGGGTACGAGAAAGCGACGATGTGCGGGCGGGGATTAG